GGATTTTGGTCCTGCTCAGCTGGTGGGGGCGGATCCACCACCAACCACAGCCATGGGACCTTCACCTTCTTTCCTGAGCACTTGTTGGAGGGTCCTGCAGAGCATCCAGCCTTCAGCCACGTTCCTGCCTCATGGAAATATCCCCACACACCATGGTGAAGGGCTCTCACCCATCCTGGACCTCGCCGTCCCACCAGCAAAGGTCTGCTGAACATCTTCGGCCTGCTGGACAACCAGAGGGATGTCACACCCAGTAACATCCAGCGTGTGGAAGATGCTGGGGGGGGAATTTGGAAACCCACACTCCGTAGCTCAAAGCTCAGCTTTTTTGGGGTTGCTTTGGACACATCCGGGAAGTCTCCACAGCTGGGAGAGCGCTTAGGACTTTTGAGGAGGTGAACTGCTGCACTTGCCACAAGGATCCTCCCCGGGTGACCTGCAGAACATCTGGAGAAGTTCACAAGGGGATGGAGAAGCGCCCACGGATGAAGGGCAGGAGAGCCCTGACGGTGCACGGGGCAGGATGCTTGAACCCCTTGGTGTGGTGTGAGGAGCACCGGGCCTTCTCCCCACATTTGGGCTGGTGCTGGGAGATATTGGTGATGGTGAGGACACCGTGCAGAGGCAGAGCTGGCCCTTCACGTGCTGCTTTCCCACCTCAAACCTCTTGCCTTTCTCCCTCCTCCCCTCCGTAGCTCCATCCCTTCACCACCGCTTGCGTTGCCTTCCCGGCAAAGCTGGAGGAGATGTTTCTTGGGGGGGGTCAGGACCTCTCGTTAGAGCCCGGAGATGCTTGGAAAAGCCTTGGAAAGGGGGTTGTCCATAGCGTCGTGGCTGGGCGAGGGGGGAAGGGAAAACCCCATGAGGAGGTTGGGAGGAAGAAGTGGGTCAGTGTGTCAGTGCAGGTGTTGGGCCAGGAGCCAAGGGCTCGGCCGCGCCAGCGAGGAACCGGCAGCTCTTCAAAGAGCAGCCGGTGGCCACCTCCTCCCCGTGACGCTGGGTGGCCCCCTCCCCATCTTCACCCCTCAAACCCACCCCCCCAGTGCTGGGACCACCACAGGTTCTGGGCAAGCTGCATCCCTGGGTTGGCTCAGCGTGGGGATGGCGCTGGCTCCGGGTGGCATTTTGGGGCAGGGGACCTTGTTTTGGGGCTTACCAGCCCCGTTTGGTCATCTTATGCCCACCCAAGGTGGCCCCCCTCCCCATCTTCACCCCTCAAACCCACCCCCCAGTGCTGGGACCACCACAGGTTCTGGGCAAGCTGCATCCCTGGGTTGGCTCAGTGTGGGGTTGACACTGGCTCTGGGTGGCATTTTGGGGCAGGGGACCTTGTTTTGGGGTTTACCAGCTCCGTTTGGTCACCTTATGCCCACCCATGGTGGCCCTGCCACTGGGGATGGAGGGGTTGCCACCTGATGTCCCTGCCAAGTTGCATGGATGCGGGGTGGGCTCAGGGATGCGGTGAGGTCCTGGGTGACAAGGAAAACTGTTGAAGAGCAGAAAGATGAAGCCGGTTGGACAAGATGGGCTTTTCCACCAGACCCGAGGCATTTCCCCTCCTCGCCTCTCCAGAGACCACGGTCTCGTCTCCAGGTCTCCAGACTTTGTAGCCACGGGGGCTCCTGTTAAAGCCATCTCAGCCCTGGCCCAGGGCTCTCCGAAGTTGTCGGGACCGTTATTTACCCACGGCTCAACCTGTCCACCCGGGAATGCCTTTTTAGCTTGGAAGCCTGGCTGGAAATGTTGGCAGAACTTCTCCTGCAAGATTTCGAGCAACCCCAAGGCTTTGGCCGGGCTGAGCATGAATCACGCTTATTTATAGCAGGGGAGCGCCCGGCCGAGTCCCTGAACGTTGGGTTTTTTTTTTCTTTCTTTTCATGTGGAAAGCTGCTCCCTGGCCCCTGCACGGCCTCTCAGCCCAGCTGGGAGGATGAGGACGATGCTCCAGCCTTCGCAAGCCACCGAGAGATCCCAGGAGGGGAAGGGGGCATCCAAGGACAAGGCCGTGGTGGTTCTCCATCCTTTTTATTTGCACGAGGGACTTTGGGGCCCAAAGAAGGGCAGATCTACCTCCAACAGGATCTTTTCCATCCTCCGTCCCGGTGACATCTGTGTGGGGTCTGGCCATCCTCAAGTTGGGGGTGGTTTCTCCTTCCATCAGCTGGGCTTGGTCACTCCTCCAGGGACAGCTGCCAAGTGCCTTGGAGAGGCAGGAGCGTTTCCCTCAGCCTCAGGAACCTCTGGACCCGGTCCAGGGGCTTCTTGTTCCTGGGAAGGTGTTGAGAAATCATAGAATCATATGGGGTTGGAAGGGACCTCTGGAGATCATCTAGTCCAACCCCCCCTGCCAGAGCAGGTCCCACAGGAACATGTCCAGGTGGGGTTTGAATGTCTCCAGAGAAGGAGACTCCACCACCTCCCTGGGCAGCTTGTTCCGGTGCTCCACCACTCTCACAGTAAAGAAGTTCCTCCTCATGTTTAGGTGGAACTTCTTATGTTCATGTTTGTGCCCATTTCCTCTGGTCCTGTCCCTGGGCACCACTGAAAAAAGCCTGGCCCCATCCTCCTGACACCCACCCTTCAAGTATCTATAGGTGTTGATCAGATCCCCCCTCAGCCTTCTCTTCTCCAGACTAAAAAGACCCAAGTCCCTCAGCCTTTCCTCAGCAGAGAGATGCTCCAAGCCCCTCACCATCTTTGTGGCCCTCTGCTGTCCCCTCTCCAGCAGTTCCCTGTCCTCTGGAACTGGGGAGCCCAGAACTGGTCCCAGTGCTCCAGCTGGGGCCTCCCCAGGGCAGAGCAGAGGGGCAGGATGACCTCCCTCCACCTGCTGCTCTCCCTCTTCCTGATGCCCCCCAGGATGCCATTGGCCTTCTTGGCCACAAGGGCACAAGAAGAATGAGGTGGTTGAGAAGCGGGTCAGCTGTGAGACCAAGACCAGGTGCCTTCCCACCCGTTCCTTGAGGAACCGGAGCCAGGCTGACTCCTCTGTGCCCAAATCCTCCTCCACCCTGGTTGGAGGAGCCATTGGGGTGGGAAAAGCTGTGGCTGGAGGAACTGGAGGATGCTACTCACAAAAAGCATCCCCGGTGCCATGCAAAGACATCACTGCAGCTGGGTCCGGGTCAGGGTGAGGTTTCCTGGTGTGGTCACCATCCCTCTGGACTTCCTTCCCCTCCAGCAGCCTGAGATCATCTCCCCATGGGGTACCTGGGATGAGGAACCCCTTGCTGGGCCAAGGACTAACCCCTTGCCTCCTTGCCTCGCAGGACCTTTGTGGGGCCACCACCTGTGACACGCTGGGGATGGCGGACGTGGGCACCATGTGTGACCCCAAGCGCAGTTGCTCCGTCATCGAGGACGACGGGCTGCCCTCAGCTTTCACCACGGCCCACGAGCTGGGTAAGGACCACCACCACCCCTCCCCACCAACCCCAGCTTCTCGGGAGGGATGCCATGAGCTGGCAAAGGTTCAAAATAACCCTGGTTTCAGCCTCCGGAAGATCAGACAATAATACCCGGAATCTGGTGATGGGGGAAACTCCATGAGACAGCCCCTCCTGAGACGGGTGGGAAGGAGCTGCTGAGAAAGCAAAAAGCTTGGCTGTTGTGGGGTTTCCAGGATTTGGGAATCCGGAAATAACAGGCAGAGGGCACACCTACCACCGGAGACACTTGGGTTCCTCAGCAGGAGGGAACGGGGATGGGGGTGGTGAGCAATGAAGGCTCTTTCTCTTTTCAATTTCCCTTGTCCTTCCTTTGGGACAGCAAGTTCCCAGCATCTACATGAGCATCATCCTTCCCCTGGTGCCTCCTGGGCTCTCCATGGCCACTTCCATCCTTGGAAGGGTCTGCTCTGCTCCGTGCCTCAGTTTCCCCCCTTGCAAGAACTCCCAAGTGGGGTTACTCATGTTGCTCACCCTCTTCCTACCCTCTCCCTCCCCAGGCCACGTCTTCAACATGCCCCATGACAACGTGAAGGCCTGTGAGGAGGTCTTCGGTCGGCTGAAGACCAACCACATGATGTCTCCCACCCTCATCCAGATCGACCGTGCCAACCCCTGGTCAGCCTGCAGTGCTGCCATCATCACCGACTTCCTCGACAGCGGCCACGGTGAGCCCTCCTGTGCCCCTCACCTTCTTACCCGTGCTCCTGCCCCATGGGAGCAGGACCCATCTCTAGGGCCATCACCGGGAGAGGCTGATGGGCTGTAGAGCAGCTCTTCTCCTCGCTCTGCAAACCAAATTAGAGGGCAATAGGGATTTTGGTGGTGTTTCTGCACCAGACGAGCTTCCTTAGTGGTGGTGGGGTGTCCCTAGGTGGTGATGCTCTACCCAGCATCACCAAGAGATGGAGTCACTTGGGTCTGGGATGACCTCAAGGGCATCCCTGGGGTAACACCGGTCCTGGTTGTGCGCGTGGCTGGGATAATTCCCAGCAGACATCCCTCCCCACCCCACAGTGATGCTCCATCTCCCCACCTTGGTCCATACAACCCACCTTGAGAACCTGGTAGACCTCTTCCTTCCCCGTTCCTGCAGGAGATTGCTTGCTGGACCAGCCTGCCAAACCCATCCCGCTGCCCGAAGACCTACCGGGGACGAGCTACAGCCTGAACCAGCAGTGTGAGCTGGCCTTTGGGGTGGGCTCCAAGCCCTGCCCCTACATGCAGTACTGTGCCAAGCTCTGGTGCACGGGCAAAGCCCGGGGACAAATCGTCTGCCAGACCCGACACTTCCCCTGGGCGGACGGCACCGGCTGCGGGGAGGGTCGCTTCTGCTTGAAGGGGGCCTGCGTTGAGAGGCATAACATCAGTAAGTACAGGGTGAGTACCTGCGCCATGAAAAACCCCAAAAGACATCACCCCGAGGTGGTTTTTTTGCTGATCCCTCCACCTCCTGGTGCTGGGGACCCGGTGGTGGGGGGACAGCAATGTGAAGGGAATCATCATAGAATAGGTTGGTTGGAAAGGACCTTAAAGATGAGCCCCCCCGGGAGGATGCTGTCGCTGCTGCCGCTGTTGCTGTTGGGCGCCCCGGGGTTGAGCCTGCCTTCGGGGGGGCCCCCGGGGGACACGGAGCTTGTCACCCCCCTCCGCTTGGACCCCGATATCAACGGGCGCTCTTACTTCAGCTGGGGACCCGGTGGTGGGGGGACAGCAATGGGAAGGGAATAGATTGGTTGGAAGGGACCTGAAAATTGCCCCTTGGTTGGGGGATCTAGGGGTCCCTCGGGGAGAAGAGTATTGGGGTACCCCAGGTCTGAAGATGCGTGGAGACATCTTGGGGCTCTACTCACCTGGGCTGCACCATCATAGCATGGTTTGGGTTGGAAGGGACCTTAAAGACCATCTTTTTCCAAGGGAACTGCAAGAAGGGACACCTTCCACTAGACCAGGTTGCTCAAAGCCCCACGTGCCTGGGTACAGCAATGTGAAGGGCACCATCATAGCATGGTTTGGGTTGGAAGGGACCTTAAAGACCATCTTTTTCCCAAGATTGGAAGGGACCTTAAAGATGATCTTTTTCCCAAGGGACCTGGAAAAAGGGACACCTTCCACTAGACCAGGTTGCTCAAAGCCCCGTGAGCTTGGTTTTGAGCCCCATGAGCTTGGTTTTGAGCCCCACGTGCCTGGTTTCGAGCCCCATGCTCAAAGCCAAGAGATGGAGCTCCCTTGGGTATTGCCCGTTTCTCAAGGAAGGATGCTGCTGCTCTGCTCCATCCAGCCCCAGGGGGGTTTTGGGGGGGCAACCAGCAGAGAACTTTGCTCGTGAAGGGATGGATTGGGGTTTGGGGAGCCCCAGCTCGGGATGGAACCAGCAGTAAAGGGGATGCAGCATCTCACTTCACTATGTCCCTGCAGGTGGACGGTGGCTGGGCCAAGTGGGCGCCCTATGGACCGTGCTCGAGGACCTGTGGTGGTGGGGTCCAGCTGGCCAAGAGGGACTGCACCCACCCCGTGCCAGCCAACGGGGGCTCCTACTGCGAGGGTGTCCGTGTCAAGTACCGCTCCTGCAACCTGGACCCCTGCCCCGCTGCAGGTAAGGGGTTGGAGCCCGGCTCCTTATGGTGTGTACAACCTACAACAACCCCATAAATCCAACTCTGGAGGTCCAAGGTGGTCCCCAATCCCACGCACATCCTCGTTTCTTCCAGTGCCAGGGAAGAGCTTCCGTGAGGAGCAGTGTGAAGCTTTCAACGGCTACAGCCACAGCACCAACCGACTCACCGCCTCCGTCTCCTGGGTCCCCAAATACTCCGGCGTCTCGCCCCGAGATAAATGCAAGCTCATCTGCCGGGCTAACGGCACCGGCTACTTCTACGTGCTGGCTCCCAAGGTTGGTGAAGGACCTCCAGGGTCAGCATCTGGGCTGGAGGATGACTCCGGTGTTCCTGGAAATGAAGGCGTTTTCCTTGTCTTGGTGGGCAGCTGGTGTTAGAGGAGGTTATGGCCCACCGCCTCCAACGTCGTAGCCCCGGTCACCCCGTCGGGGTCGGAGCATCCCGTTGCGCCGTAGGCTCCGGGTTGACCCCCGGGGTCCTCCAGGCGTTGGATAAATATCGGGGGGTCGAGCCAAGCGTTTCGCCTCGGTCCCCCGTTACGTGGAGACCTTGGTGGTGGCCGACGAGTCGATGGTGAAGTTCCACGGGGACGACCTCCAGCACTACCTGCTCACCTTGATGGCCACCGCCGCCCGGCTCTACAAGCACCCCAGCATCCGTAACCCCATCCAGATCTCCGTCGTCAAGTTCCTCCTCATCGGGCAGGACGACAAAGGGCCCAAGGTGACGGGCAACGCCGCCCTCACCCTCCGCAACTTCTGCGCCTGGCAGAAGAAGTGGAACAAGGTCAGCGACAAGCACCCCGAGTACTGGGACACCGCCATCCTCTTCACCAAGCAGGTGGGTTGCGCCAAGCGGGGACCCAATTTCCAGGAGCTCCTTGCTCCACCGTGTCTTCCTGGCCCCCCTTGCACCCCCATTTCTGGAGGACATTAGTGCCTGATCCATCCCTCCTTCCATCCCTCCTTCCATCCCTCCTTCCATCCCTCCTTCCATCCCCCCATCCATCCCCCCATCCATCCCCCATCCATCCCATTCCTCCCAAGGGACCCTCCACCCTTGGATGCCGGGGCCAGGGGAGCAGAGGTCTGCAGGGAGGAGCAGATAGGATGAGAGGAAATGGCCTCAAGTTGCACCAGGGGAGGTTTAGATGGGATATTAGGACAAATTTCTTCAAGGAAAAGCGTTATCCACCACTGGAATGGGCTGCCCAGGGAAGGGGTTCAGGCACCATCCCTGGAGGTGTTCAAAAGACGGGTCGACATGGTCCTCAAGAATATGGTTTAGTGATTTTTTTATTGCTTATTTCTTATTTATTTTTTTGGTCAGAGTTAGGTTGATGGTTGGACTAGATGATCTTTAAGGTCCCTTCCAACCTAGATGATTCTATGATTCTATGGGGTGTAGAGCAAGCCCACTTGAGCCGGTCCTTGCTGGCCTCTGGGCAGGTTTTGGCCTGGAGAAAGCCCTGCAGGTTGTCCCCACGGGCAGAAACCTGCCTCTCCATCCCCCTGCCCGCTGGCAGGAGCCTCAGCAGCTGCTCATCACCCCAAAAATGTGGGGATTCCAGCCCAGAAGAGGAGGAGGAGCTCGGCCCCACTCCCTCCCCCCCATCATCCCTGGCTGGGAACGGCTCCTGGTGCCACCTGCCAAGAAAAAACCACCACCTCTCCCCGCTTCCTCTGACTCATGGTCCTCCTGAGAACCTGGAGCTCTCCTCCCCGCGCTGGCCGCTCGGCGTGGACGCGGTTCAGGGCTGGAAGAAAAGCAGGAGAGACATGGCCAGGGCTTGGAGATGTTGTGCTGGGAGCTGGCCCCATCCCGTGGGGTGGGAGAGGGGCTCGCTTTCGGCTCCGGGGGGGTGGTTGCTCAGCCAGGATGAACTCGTCCTTCATCCCAAGAAATTGGGTGACACCCACGTGGTGACACTGCTCCAAACATGCCTCCTCTTCCCCCTGGTCCCATCTCAGCGTTGACACCCTTGCACCCCCCACCCCAATTTTTGGGACCCCACTGATGGGAGGGGAGAAGGATGAGCCCAGCTCGAAGGGGATGGTCACCAGGGATGCGTTTCATCCTTCCCCCATCCCTGCCCAGATGTCTTTGGATTAGGGAATGGGTCGGGAACTCCCCTCAAACAGCAGGGAGACCATTCCCAAAATGTCTTTCCAGGTCAAGCACTGGTGGGTGGGAAGGGTACGGCGTCCAGCTTGCTCCATCCACCCCTCGCCTGGGGTCAACGTGGGCTGGGGATGGCCAAGGAGCAGGAACGATGCTGTGAAGGACATGGGAGACCTTCTCACACCCCTTCTCCCTGTCCCCAACGTCCTCCATCTGGCTGAAAATCCCACCGGAGCAGAGGCAGGGCTGAACCCCAGGCTGCTGGAGCAGGTCCTGGTTGCTGACACCCCCTGTGGGGACCCAGCCAGCTCCATCTCTGGTGGAAACCCGGTGAGGTCACCGGAGCCGCTGGGATGGATTCGGGGATTCGGTCCCAGCCATTCGAAAGCTGCATTTTTTACACATTGCTAAACCATCCATTCCTGAAATCCCCAAGCAAGCGCCGTGCGAAGGCACGCGCACGATGGAGGAGACATCTGCCTTCCTTGAGTGCATCCATCTGTGGTCCCCTGACACCCCGGAGCTTATCTCCCTGCCAAAAAGCTCTTGCATAAGCCCCCGACTTAAATTTCATCTCAAGCCCGGGTGATAGGCAGTTTCCAGTCGCCTCAACGAGTCACTGATGAAGGGGGCTCATCCCCCTCCCGAGGTTGTGGATTTGTCTTTTGGGATTTTGGTCCTGCTCAGCTGGTGGGGGCGGATCCACCACCAACCACAGCCATGGGACCTTCACCTTCTTTCCTGAGCACTTGTTGGAGGGTCCTGCAGAGCATCCAGCCTTCAGCCACGTTCCTGCCTCATGGAAATATCCCCACACACCATGGTGAAGGGCTCTCACCCATCCTGGACTTCGCCGTCCCACCAGTAAAGGTCTGCTGAACATCTTCGGCCTGCTGGACAACCAGAGGGATGTCACACCCAGTAACATCCAGCGTGTGGAAGATGCTGGGGGGGGAATTTGGAAACCCACACTCCGTAGCTCAAAGCTCAGCTTTTTTGGGGTTGCTTTGGACACATCCGGGAAGTCTCCACAGCTGGGAGAGCGCTTAGGACTTTTGAGGAGGTGAACTGCTGCACTTGCCACAAGGATCCTCCCCGGGTGACCTGCAGAACATCTGGAGAAGTTCACAAGGGGATGGAGAAGCGCCCACGGATGAAGGGCAGGAGAGCCCTGACGGTGCACGGGGCAGGATGCTTGAACCCCTTGGCGTGGTGTGAGGAGCACCGGGCCTTCTCCCCACATTTGGGCTGGTGCTGGGAGATATTGGTGATGGTGAGGACACCGTGCAGAGGCAGAGCTGGCCCTTCACGTGCTGCTTTCCCACCTCAAACCTCTTGCCTTTCTCCCTCCTCCCCTCCGTAGCTCCATCCCTTCACCACCGCTTGCGTTGCCTTCCCGGCAAAGCTGGAGGAGATGTTTCTTGGGGGGGTCAGGACCTCTCGTTAGAGCCCGGAGATGCTTGGAAAGGCCTTGGAAAGGGGGCTGTCCATAGCCTTGTGGCTGGGCGAGGGGGGAAGGGAAAACCCCATGAGGAGGTTGGGAGGAAGAAGTGGGTCAGTGTGTCAGTGCAGGTGTTGGGCCAGGAGCCAAGGGCTCGGCCGCGCCAGCGAGGAACCGGCAGCTCTTCAAAGGGCAGCCGGTGGCCACCTCCTCCCCGTGACGCTGGGTGGCCCCCTCCCCATCTTCACCCCTCAAACCCACCCCCCCAGTGCTGGGACCACCACAGGTTCTGGGCAAGCTGCATCCCTGGGTTGGCTCAGCGTGGGGATGGCGCTGGCTCCGGGTGGCATTTTGGGGCAGGGGACCTTGTTTTGGGGCTTACCAGCCCCGTTTGGTCATCTTATGCCCACCCAAGGTGGCCCCCCTCCCCATCTTCACCCCTCAAACCAACCCCCCCAGCACTGGGACCACCACAGGTTCTGGGCAAGCTGCATCCCTGGGTTGGCTCAGCGTGGGGATGACAGTGACTCCGGGTGGCATTTTGGGGCAGGGGACCTTGTTTTGGGGCTTGCCAGCCCCGTTTGGTCATCTTATGCCCACCCAAGGTGGCCCCCCTCCCCATCTTCACCCCTCAAACCAACCCCCCCAGCACTGGGACCACCACAGGTTCTGGGCAAGCTGCATCCCTGGGTTGGCTCAGCGTGGGGATGACAGTGACTCCGGGTGGCATTTTGGGGCAGGGGACCTTGTTTTGGGGCTTACCAGCCCCGTTTGGTCATCTTATGCCCACCCAAGGTGGCCCCCCTCCCCATCTTCACCCCTCAAACCCACCCCCCAGTGCTGGGACCACCACAGGTTCTGGGCAAGCTGCATCCCTGGGTTGGCTCAGCGTGGGGATGGCGCTGGCGTCCTGTCCCTGGGCACCACTGAAAAAAGCCTGGCCCCATCCTCCTGACACCCACCCTTCAAGTATCTATAGGTGTTGATCAGATCCCCCCTCAGCCTTCTCTTCTCCAGACTAAAAAGACCCAAGTCCCTCAGCCTTTCCTCAGCAGAGAGATGCTCCAAGCCCCTCACCATCTTTGTGGCCCTCTGCTGTCCCCTCTCCAGCAGTTCCCTGTCCTCTGGAACTGGGGAGCCCAGAACTGGTCCCAGTGCTCCAGCTGGGGCCTCCCCAGGGCAGAGCAGAGGGGCAGGATGACCTCCCTCCACCTGCTGCTCTCCCTCTTCCTGATGCCCCCCAGGATGCCATTGGCCTTCTTGGCCACAAGGGCACAAGAAGAATGAGGTGGTTGAGAAGCGGGTCAGCTGTGAGACCAAGACCAGGTGCCTTCCCACCCGTTCCTTGAGGAACCGGAGCCAGGCTGACTCCTCTGTGCCCAAATCCTCCTCCACCCTGGTTGGAGGAGCCATTGGGGTGGGAAAAGCTGTGGCTGGAGGAACTGGAGGATGCTACTCACAAAAAGCATCCCCGGTGCCATGCAAAGACATCACTGCAGCTGGGTCCGGGTCAGGGTGAGGTTTCCTGGTGTGGTCACCATCCCTCTGGACTTCCTTCCCCTCCAGCAGCCTGAGATCATCTCCCCATGGGGTACCTGGGATGAGGAACCCCTTGCTGGGCCAAGGACTAACCCCTTGCCTCCTTGCCTCGCAGGACCTTTGTGGGGCCACCACCTGTGACACGCTGGGGATGGCGGACGTGGGCACCATGTGTGACCCCAAGCGCAGTTGCTCCGTCATCGAGGACGACGGGCTGCCCTCAGCTTTCACCACGGCCCACGAGCTGGGTAAGGACCACCACCACCCCTCCCCACCAACCCCAGCTTCTCGGGAGGGATGCCATGAGCTGGCAAAGGTTCAAAATAACCCTGGTTTCAGCCTCCGGAAGATCAGACAATAATACCCGGAATCTGGTGATGGGGGAAACTCCATGAGACAGCCCCTCCTGAGACGGGTGGGAAGGAGCTGCTGAGAAAGCAAAAAGCTTGGCTGTTGTGGGGTTTCCAGGATTTGGGAATCCGGAAATAACAGGCAGAGGGCACACCTACCACCGGAGACACTTGGGTTCCTCAGCAGGAGGGAACGGGGATGGGGGTGGTGAGCAATGAAGGCTCTTTCTCTTTTCAATTTCCCTTGTCCTTCCTTTGGGACAGCAAGTTCCCAGCATCTACATGAGCATCATCCTTCCCCTGGTGCCTCCTGGGCTCTCCATGGCCACTTCCATCCTTGGAAGGGTCTGCTCTGCTCCGTGCCTCAGTTTCCCCCCTTGCAAGAACTCCCAAGTGGGGTTACTCATGTTGCTCACCCTCTTCCTACCCTCTCCCTCCCCAGGCCACGTCTTCAACATGCCCCATGACAACGTGAAGGCCTGTGAGGAGGTCTTCGGTCGGCTGAAGACCAACCACATGATGTCTCCCACCCTCATCCAGATCGACCGTGCCAACCCCTGGTCAGCCTGCAGTGCTGCCATCATCACTGACTTCCTCGACAGCGGCCACGGTGAGCCCTCCTGTGCCCCTCACCTTCTTACCCGTGCTCCTGCCCCATGGGAGCAGGACCCATCTCTAGGGCCATCACCGGGAGAGGCTGATGGGCTGTAGAGCAGCTCTTCTCCTCGCTCTGCAAACCAAATTAGAGGGCAATAGGGATTTTGGTGGTGTTTCTGCACCAGACGAGCTTCCTTAGTGGTGGTGGGGTGTCCCCAGGTGGTGATGCTCTACCCAGCATCACCAAGAGATGGAGTCACTTGGGTCTGGGATGACCTCAAGGGCATCCCTGGGGTAACACCGGTCCTGGTTGTGCGCGTGGCTGGGATAATTCCCAGCAGACATCCCTCCCCACCCCACAGTGATGCTCCATCTCCCCACCTTGGTCCATACAACCCACCTTGAGAACCTGGTAGACCTCTTCCTTCCCCGTTCCTGCAGGAGATTGCTTGCTGGACCAGCCTGCCAAACCCATCCCGCTGCCCGAAGACCTACCGGGGACGAGCTACAGCCTGAACCAGCAGTGTGAGCTGGCCTTTGGGGTGGGCTCCAAGCCCTGCCCCTACATGCAGTACTGTGCCAAGCTCTGGTGCACGGGCAAAGCCCGGGGACAAATCGTCTGCCAGACCCGACACTTCCCCTGGGCGGACGGCACCGGCTGCGGGGAGGGTCGCTTCTGCTTGAAGGGGGCCTGCGTTGAGAGGCATAACATCAGTAAGTACAGGGTGAGTACCTGCGCCATGAAAAACCCCAAAAGACATCACCCCGAGGTGGTTTTTTTGCTGATCCCTCCACCTCCTGGTGCTGGGGACCCGGTGGTGGGGGGACAGCAATGTGAAGGGAATCATCATAGAATAGGTTGGTTGGAAAGGACCTTAAAGATGAGCTTTTTCCAAGGGAACTGCAAGAAGGGACACCTTCCACTAGACCAGGTTGCTCAAAGCCCCACGTGCCTGGGTACAGCGACGTGAAGGGCACCATCATAGAATGGTTTGGGTTGGAAGGGACCTTAAAGACCATCTTTTTCCAAGGGAACTGCAAGAAGGGACACCTTCCACTAGACCAGGTTGCTCAAAGCCCCACGTGCCTGGGTACAGCAACGTGAAGGGCACCATCATAGCATGGTTTGGGTTGGAAGGGACCTTAAAGATCATCTTTTTCCAAGGGAACTGCAAGAAGGGACACCTTCCACTAGACCAGGTTGCTCAAAGCCCCACGTGCCTGGGTACAGCAACGTGAAGGGCACCATCATAGCATGGTTTGGGTTGGAAGGGACCTTAAAGATCATCTTTTTCCAAGGGAACTGCAAGAAGGGACACCTTCCACTAGACCAGGTTGCTCAAAGCCCCACGTGCCTGGGTACAGCAACGTGAAGGGCACCATCATAGCATGGTTTGGGTTGGAAGGGACCTTAAAGATCATCTTTTTCCAAGGGAACTGCAAGAAGGGACACCTTCCACTAGACCAGGTTGCTCAAAGCCCCGTGAGCTTGGTTTTGAGCCCCATGAGCTGGGTTTTGAGCCCCACATGCCTGGTTTCGACCCCCATGCTCAAAGCCAAGAGATGGAGCTCCCTTGGGTATTGCCCGTTTCTCAAGGAAGGATGCTGCTGCTCTGCTCCATCCAGCCCCAGGGGGATTTTGAGGGGGCAACCAGCAGAGAACTTTGCTCGTGAAGGGATGGATTGGGGTTTGGGGAGCCCCAGCTCGGGATGGAACCAGCAGTAAAGGGGATGCAGCATCTCACTTCACTATGTCCCTGCAGGTGGACGGTGGCTGGGCCAAGTGGGCGCCCTATGGACCGTGCTCGAGGACCTGTGGTGGTGGGGTCCAGCTGGCCAAGAGAGACTGCACCCACCCCGTGCCAGCCAACGGGGGCTCCTACTGCGAGGGTGTCCGTGTCAAGTACCGCTCCTGCAACCTGGACCCCTGCCCCGCTGCAGGTAAGGGGTTGGAGCCCGGCTCCTTATGGTGTGTACAACCTACAACAACCCCATAAATCCAACTCTGGAGGTCCAAGGTGGTCCCCAATCCCACGCACATCCTCGTTTCTTCCAGTGCCAGGGAAGAGCTTCCGTGAGGAGCAGTGTGAAGCTTTCAACGGCTACAGCCACAGCACCAACCGACTCACCGCCTCCGTCTCCTGGGTCCCCAAATACTCCGGCGTCTCGCCCCGAGATAAATGCAAGCTCATCTGCCGGGCTAACGGCACCGGCTACTTCTACGTGCTGGCTCCCAAGGTTGGTGAAGGACCTCCAGGGTACAGCATCTGGGCTGGAGGATGACTCCGGTGTTCCTGGAAATGAAGGCGTTTTCCTTGTCTTGGTGGGCAGCTGGTGTTAGAGGAGGTTATGGAGGAGGAGAATCCACCAGGCTGGTAGGACTTAGCACGGATGCATCTGTTTATTTATCTCAGGGCTGGAGTTGGTCCATGGAGGGTCTTCCTCCAGGTTTGTGAAGGTGCCTCTAGGACATGCCCCCGAGTACTGGGACACCGCCATCCTCTTCACCAAGCAGGTGGGTTGCGCCAAGCGGGGACCCAATTTCCAGGAGCTCCTTGCTCCACCGTGTCTTCCTGGCCCCCCTTGCACCCCCATTTCTGGAGGACATTAGTGCCTGATCCATCCCTCCTTCCATCCCTCCTTCCATCCCTCCTTCCATCCCTCCTTCCATCCCCCCATCCATCCCCCCATCCATCCCCCATCCATCCCATTCCTCCCAAGGGACCCTCCACCCTTGGATGCCGGGGCCAGGGGAGCAGAGGTCTGCAGGGAGGAGCAGATAGGATGAGAGGAAATGGCCTCAAGTTGCACCAGGGGAGGTTTAGATGGGATATTAGGACAAATTTCTTCAAGGAAAAGCGTTATCCACCACTGGAATGGGCTGCCCAGGGAAGGGGTTCAGGCACCATCCCTGGAGGTGTTCAAAAGACGGGTCGACATGGTCCTCAAGAATATGGTTTAGTGATTTTTTTATTGCTTATTTCTTATTTATTTTTTTGGTCAGAGTTAGGTTGATGGTTGGACTAGATGATCTTTAAGGTCCCTTCCAACCTAGATGATTCTATGATTCTATGGGGTGTAGAGCAAGCCCACTTGAGCCGGTCCTTGCTGGCCTCTGGGCAGGTTTTGGCCTGGAGAAAGCCCTGCAGGTTGTCCCCACGGGCAGAAACCTGCCTCTCCATCCCCCTGCCCGCTGGCAGGAGCCTCAGCAGCTGCTCATCACCCCAAAAATGTGGGGATTCCAGCCCAGAAGAGGAGGAGGAGCTCGGCCCCACTCCCTCCCCCCCATCATCCCTGGCTGGGAACGGCTCCTGGTGCCACCTGCCAAGAAAAAACCACCACCTCTCCCCGCTTCCTCTGACTCATGGTCCTCCTGAGAACCTGGAGCTCTCCTCCCCGCGCTGGCCGCTCGGCGTGGACGCGGTTCAGGGCTGGAAGAAAAGCAGGAGAGACATGGCCAGGGCTTGGAGATGTTGTGCTGGGAGCTGGCCCCATCCCGTGGGGTGGGAGAGGGGCTCGCTTTCGGCTCCGGGGGGGTGGTTGCTCAGCCAGGATGAACTCGTCCTTCATCCCAAGAAATTGGGTGACACCCACGTGGTGACACTGCTCCAAACATGCCTCCTCTTCCCCCTGGTCCCATCTCAGCGTTGACACCCTTGCACCCCCCACCCCAATTTTTGGGACCCCACTGATGGGAGGGGAGAAGGATGAGCCCAGCTCGAAGGGGATGGTCACCAGGGATGCGTTTCATCCTTCCCCCATCCCTGCCCAGATGTCTTTGGATTAGGGAATGGGTCGGGAACTCCCCTCAAACAGCAGGGAGACCATTCCCAAAATGTCTTTCCAGGTCAAGCACTGGTGGGTGGGAAGGGTACGGCGTCCAGCTTGCTCCATCCACCCCTCGCCTGGGGTCAACGTGGGCTGGGGATGGCCAAGGAGCAGGAACGATGCTGTGAAGGACATGGGAGACCTTCTCACACCCCTTCTCCCTGTCCCCAACGTCCTCCATCTGGCTGAAAATCCCACCGGAGCAGAGGCAGGGCTGAACCCCAGGCTGCTGGAGCAGGTCCTGGTTGCTGACACCCCCTGTGGGGACCCAGCCAGCTCCATCTCTGGTGGAAACCCGGTGAGGTCACCGGAGCCGCTGGGATGGATTCGGGGATTCGGTCCCAGCCATTCGAAAGCTGCATTTTTTACACATTGCTAAACCATCCATTCCTGAAATCCCCAAGCAAGCGCCGTGCGAAGGCACGCGCACGATGGAGGAGACATCTGCCTTCCTTGAGTGCATCCATCTGTGGTCCCCTGACACCCCGGAGCTTATCTCCCTGCCAAAAAGCTCTTGCATAAGCCCCCGACTTAAATTTCATCTCAAGCCCGGGTGATAGGCAGTTTCCAGTCGCCTCAACGAGTCACTGATGAAGGGGGCTCATCCCCCTCCCGAGGTTGTGGATTTGTCTTTTGGGATTTTGGTCCTGCTCAGCTGGTGGGGGCGGATCCACCACCAACCACAGCCATGGGACCTTCACCTTCTTTCCTGAGCACTTGTTGGAGGGTCCTGCAGAGCATCCAGCCTTCAGCCACGTTCCTGCCTCATGGAAATATCCCCACACACCATGGTGAAGGGCTCTCACCCATCCTGGACTTCGCCGTCCCACCAGTAAAGGTCTGCTGAACATCTTCGGCCTGCTGGACAACCAGAGGGATGTCACACCCAGTAACATCCAGCGTGTGGAAGATGCTGGGGGGGGAATTTGGAAACCCACACTCCGTAGCTCAAAGCTCAGCTTTTTTGGGGTTGCTTTGGACACATCCGGGAAGTCTCCACAGCTGGGAGAGCGCTTAGGACTTTTGAGGAGGTGAACTGCTGCACTTGCCACAAGGATCCTCCCCGGGTGACCTGCAGAACATCTGGAGAAGTTCACAAGGGGATGGAGAAGCGCCCACGGATGAAGGGCAGGAGAGCCCTGACGGTGCACGGGGCAGGATGCTTGAACCCCTTGGCGTGGTGTGAGGAGCACCGGGCCTTCTCCCCACATTTGGGCTGGTGCTGGGAGATATTGGTGATGGTGAGGACACCGTGCAGAGGCAGAGCTGGCCCTTCACGTGCTGCTTTCCCACCTCAAACCTCTTGCCTTTCTCCCTCCTCCCCTCCGTAGCTCCATCCCTTCACCACCGCTTGCGTTGCCTTCCCGGCAAAGCTGGAGGAGATGTTTCTTGGGGGGGTCAGGACCTCTCGTTAGAGCCCGGAGATGCTTGGAAAGGCCTTGGAAAGGGGGCTGTCCATAGCCTTGTGGCTGGGCGAGGGGGGAAGGGAAAACCCCATGAGGAGGTTGGGAGGAAGAAGTGGGTCAGTGTGTCAGTGCAGGTGTTGGGCCAGGAGCCAAGGGCTCGGCCGCGCCAGCGAGGAACCGGCAGCTCTTCAAAGGGCAGCCGGTGGCCACCTCCTCCCCGTGACGCTGGGTGGCCCCCTCCCCATCTTCACCCCTCAAACCCACCCCCCCAGTGCTGGGACCACCACAGGTTCTGGGCAAGCTGCATCCCTGGGTTGGCTCAGCGTGGGGATGGCGCTGGCTCCGGGTGGCATTTTGGGGCAGGGGACCTTGTTTTGGGGCTTACCAGCCCCGTTTGGTCATCTTATGCCCACCCAAGGTGGCCCCCCTCCCCATCTTCACCCCTCAAACCAACCCCCCCAGCACTGGGACCACCACAGGTTCTGGGCAAGCTGCATCCCTGGGTTGGCTCAGCGTGGGGATGACAGTGACTCCGGGTGGCATTTTGGGGCAGGGGACCTTGTTTTGGGGCTTGCCAGCCCCGTTTGGTCATCTTATGCCCACCCAAGGTGGCCCCCCTCCCCATCTTCACCCCTCAAACCAACCCCCCCAGCACTGGGACCACCACAGGTTCTGGGCAAGCTGCATCCCTGGGTTGGCTCAGCGTGGGGATGACAGTGACTCCGGGTGGCATTTTGGGGCAGGGGACCTTGTTTTGGGGCTTACCAGCCCCGTTTGGTCATCTTATGCCCACCCAAGGTGGCCCCCCTCCCCATCTTCACCCCTCAAACCCACCCCCCAGTGCTGGGACCACCACAGGTTCTGGGCAAGCTGCATCCCTGGGTTGGCTCAGCGTGGGGATGGCGCTGGCTCCGGGTGGCATTTTGGGGCAGGGGACCTTGTTTTGGGGCTTACCAGCCCCGTTGGGTCAC